GATGAACATGACGTAAAAGGTAGCTACTTGTTGAACATGACGGAATGCCTTGACATTGTAAGCTACAATACTGACATAGTACATTAAATTATTATGTTGTTCCTCAGATGAGTGCCAGAACTAGCGTTAGCGGGGGTCGAGAGGTTTTTATTTAAGCCCCACGAAAATCACGTTAGCTACCTATCTCACCTAACATGATGACAAAACCAATAACGTTACATAGCGGCTAACTAAGTCAACAACAGGCAATTTTTGCGGTTTAAATAAAATGTCCTCGTCAGAAACAAAACCATGGAAGATTTCAATCAACATGATAAGTTAACTTAGCTAACTTACCGTCCAATGCAAGACAGCAGAAAGAAAAATCTAGCATCCTCAGAAATGATACATTACACTAAACTAGCACTACCATTACTTCGATCGAGATAAAACTGTTATATATAATATATAAACTGTTATTATTATATAATTTATATAACTAAATCATGAATAAGGACATTTACCTCAGAGGACGTGTTGCTCAACGAGGATTGCGACTTCCAATCTTGAGGAGAAAAAATGCCGCGAAGCTCCAGCGCGGCGGCGCCAAGTGAAGAAGGGGTGGAGTTACGAGGTTTCTCAGACAGTTGAAGTGTCCAATGGAGTTAAGAGGTTTGCTCACAAGCTATTTTCAACACTTTCGATTGGTTAATAATTTGTAAAAATAACAGACCCACGTGGAGACTGACCAATAGCATCGATTTGTGAAAAAATATTAAATTGACCAAATTTGGACATACGAGGTTTCCGCCCGACAGCGACGATATGTTTAGGTATTAGGCTTATTTTGTTTTAATTTCTGCTGTTCTGTAAAGCACTTTGGCCAGCCAGTGGCTGTTGTGCTATATAAATTAAATGAACTTGTGAATGTCATTGGTTGTTTTTGGTCATGTTAAAGGAACACTCCGCCGTTTTTTCATATTAAACTATGTTATTCCCTTAACTAAGACAAGTTGATACATACCTCTCTCATCTCAGTGCGTGCGCTCAATCGCTATGGCGCGCGGCGACACTTTGATAGCCCAGTTCATTCATTAGGATCCAAACAGAGATGAAGTTAGAAGCGACCAAACACCTCCACGTTTTCCCTATTTAAATACAGCTACACGAGTAGTTACACGACCAAGTATGGTGACACAAAATAAAACGTGTCGCTTTTCTAAGCGTGTAAAATGGATAACTATAATGTATGGCGGAATAGCACTGAGAAAACTTCGACTCGGCGCAGTAATATCATCACTCCTGAATGATACTGGCGCCATGTTTTATTTTGTGTCACCATACTTGGTCGTGTAACTACTCGTGTGACTGTATTTAAATAGGGAAAACATGGAGGTGGAGACGAGAGAGGTATGTATCAACTCGTCTTAGTTAAGGGAATAGCATAGTTTAATATGAAAAAACGGTGGAGTGTTCCTTTAATCCTTGTCCCTGTGTTGCCATTGTCTCTTGTCTAGCTTTGTTCCTTGTACCATTATTGGTTATTCTATGTTTAGTCCAAGTTTATGTTCATGTTAATTTCATATTGTCACTTCAACCTAAGTCTGTTTTGTTTGTATCAGTTTATTGGAATAAACTATACTTGGGTTCAATTCAACTCGCCTTCAGTGGACTACATTACACATATTATAGACATGATTCATGGGTCTTTTTTTATTTATTATCTTTCTAGATCTTTTTGTCTTCATTTTAAAATCTGAAAGTTCTTATTTGGTTCTGTTTTAGGTTCTTCATATATTATATACCTTGTTATATGAAAAAACAAGAAAGGGTTTAATAAGTAAATGAAACGTTTAGAACATGTTAAAAACATGAAATGTTTTTCATAATGAAACCTTTTAATGGGAGAATTGAACGTTCTAATAACGTTTTGAATAACGTTCCTATAACCAAGAAATAACATTAATAGAACGTTTATATAACGGGAGAATTGAACGTTCTAATAACGTTTGAATGAGGTTCTTATAACCAAGCAACAACGTTAATAGAACTTTTATATAACGGGAGAATTTAACGTTCTAATAACGTTTTGAATAACGTTCTTATAACCAAGAAATAACGTTAATACAACGTTTACATAACGGGAGAATTTAACGTTCTAATAACGTTTTGAATAACGTTCTTATAACCATGAAATAACGTTAATACAACGTCTAAAAAACTGGACGTTTTGAACGTTCCTAGAACATTCAGAAATAACGTTTTTATAACTTAATGGGAACGTTATGGAAACGTTCTTATAACCTAAAATTGTTAGCTGGGGCTGAAGCTGATGCTTCACTTATTAGAGACCAATATGGCATTGATTCAATGCGTGACTCGCTGATTTTATTTCCCCGCGGCTTCCTCGCGCTGTGGAATGCTGACCAGCGCTGCTGCTGACGCGCATTTATGGTAAATACCCGTGACGTGAACGTTAAAAGGATGATAGCCTACGACAAATATTTCGCTTTCCTTTGACACGGCAACCTTTTTCACGAATACATATGACTTCAAAGACAGACGCAATCCGCACGCGCTCTGCCGATCTCTCTCATTCACTGTCTGTGCGAAGCCTCTGTAGGCTACACATCACCACGATAAACAGTCTTGTTTGTTATCATTATGAACTTGTTTAACATTCAATACACATGCATGAAGTTCAAAACAAGCAGTTAAATGTCTATAATAGCCTAATAGTATCAATATGTTGCATTACTACAGTCCTGTAATTCAGGTAACAGCTGGAAAAAACAAAAACACTTATCTAAATCTCGAAAATCGGATCAGATCGGATCGGATCGAATCGAATAATGATAATCGATTCAAGATCTTGAGAATCGGAATCGAATCGATTCTTGAAATTTGAATCGAAACCCAGCTCTAGTATAATGCATTATAAAGATATTCATAATGCACAATATGATGCATTATATATTTGTAACCAACACTAAAATGCGTTATATATTAATAGCAGATTCCTTGTTACATCTGAAATTGGTTTTAATGCATTATACTTTTTAAAGGCATAACATAAGTACTGCAATGTATTATAACTGTGGTGACAATACAATGCATTATTGGGCTTAGATTACATGGTAACACTTTATTTTTACAGTGTCATTGTTACACGTTACATGCAGTTACTATAGTAATAATAACTATAATTGTGCATAATTACATGCAACTAAACCAAACTAAACTCAAAACCTAACCCTACATTAAGTACAGTACATGTAGTTAATTAATATTACTCAGTTCTTAAATGTATAATTACAGTAACAAAGATACCTTAAAATAAAGTTTATTTGGTAACCCTTTATTTGAGTGTCCTTGTTACACGTTACGTGTAGTTAGTAATAACTATAAATTATGCATAAATACATGCAACTAAACCTAATCCTAACCCTATAGTAGTTGATTATTACTCAGTACTTAAATGTATAATTTAACTGTAACCTTTTTTTTATGGTGTCCTTGTTACAATATAATTATACATTTATAATAGTAATCAACTACATGTACTCAGTACAGGGTTGGTGTTAGGATAATGGTGTGGTTTAGGGTTGGTTGCATATAATTATTTGTAATTTAAAGTTATTACTATTGTAACTACATGTAAAGAAAAGTGTTACCCAAGGCATAACTAATGCATTGAAATACGTTTATAATGTATTATATATAAAGGCTTACAAAATTGATGTCTACAAAATAAACACACACTCAAGCATTCTGCTGACGTGCTGGATAAGTGCAATCATTTCCCTGTCGACCATAAACATGCAAGCCTTTTCCCATACAATTGATGATAAAAATAGATACTCCAGTTCGCACGCGCGAGCGTGTGTGTGTGTGTGAGTGTGTGTGTCATAATTATTTGTAATTTTTTCTGAAACTGGAAACAGAGGAACCAGGAAACTCACTGTTTATGATGGGCAGGTTTAGGTGTCGGGTTAGTGTGTGTGTGTGTGTTTGTGATGGGCAGGTTTAGGGGTCGGGTGTGTGTGTTTGTGTGTGTGTTTGTGATGGGCAGGTTTAGGGGTCTAGTTAGTGTGTGTGTGTGTGTGTGTGTGTGTGTGTGTATGTGTGTGTGTGTGTGTTTGTGATGGGCAGGTTTAGGGGTCGGGTGTGTGTGTGTGTGTGTGTGTGTTTGTGTGTGTTTGTGATGGGCAGGTTTAAGGGTCGGGTTAGCGTGTGTGGGTGTGTGTGTGTGTGTGTGTGTTTGTTATGGGTAGGTTTAAGGGTCGGGTTAGCGTGCTCTTGTTTTCATGACAACTGAGGACATTTTTATGATAACACACCTTCAATATGAGGACACTCGGAAAAATGAGGACATTTCCTGAGTCCTCATATTTCAAATGGCTTTAAAAACACACTAAGCAGTGTTTTATTAAAAATGTAAAAATGCAGCATGTCTCCTGTGATGGGTAGGTTTAGGGATAGGGGCAGTGTAGGGGGATAGAATATACAGTTTGTCCAGTATAAAAGTCATTACGCCTATGGAATGTCCTCATATATCACAAAAACACAGCTGTGTGTGTGGGTGTGTGTGTGTGTTTGTGTGTGTGTGTGTGTGTGTGTGTGTGTGTTTGTTATGGGTAGGTTTAGGGGTCGGGTTAGTGTGTGTGTGTGTGTGTTTGTGATGGGCAGGTTTAAGTGTCGGGTTAGTGTGTGTGTGTGTGTTTGTGATGGGTAGGTTTAGGGGTCGGGTTAGTGTGTGTGTGTGTGTGTGTGTGTGTGATGGGCAGGTTTAAGGGTCGGGTTAGCGTGTGTGGGTGTGTGTGTGTGTGTGTGTGTGTTTGTTATGGGTAGGTTTAAGGGTTGGGTTAGCGTGTGTGGGTGTGTGTGTTTGTGTGTGTGTGTGTGTGTGTGTGTTTGTTATGGGTAGGTTTAGGGGTCGGGTTAGTGTGTGTGTGTGTGTGTGTGTGTGTGCGTTTTTTTCTTCTTCTGAAACTGGAAACAGAGGAAACCAGGAAACTCACACTGGGTTGACACAGTCCCTCTGGGCATTTTGAACGCCCGCGCCGCAGGTCCTGGTGCACTCGGACCAGTCGCTCCATGAATCCCAGCCTCCATTCACGCTTTCAGGCTGGGAGCCCATCACCACACACTCACCGTCAAAACACCACTGCCAAAAACAAACATCCAAGATCTTCAGTTAGTCAGAGTACAAGGAACTGGGAAGGAGAACTAGCAGGTGAACGGCATGCAGGGAAATTAAAATCCCGGCTTGCCTTGTCCTCTCCACACTTGGTCCCATCCACGGCACCGTCCAGCCTGGAGTGGCAGGTCGAGCCCACTGTACACCACAGGGTGCTGCACATGTTCTGAAGGGGGCAGTCATTTCAAGGGTTTCGATCATTTACAATTTTAGATTATAGGGGCTTTCGCACCGGAGGAACCTTTTCACAGTTCCTAGAACTATCGGCGGAAGTACCCCGGGTGTCGGCGTGTTCGCACCGCAGGAACTATTTTAGCTCTAGGAACTCCTTTTGGAGGAACTAATTTAACTCCTACTTCAGAGTCGGTCTAAACCAGCGCTATAGGAACTATCCGTGACGTTAGTGTTCGCTGATTGGCCGAACGCACGCGGAACACCAGCACCCGCCATTTTAAAAAAAAGAAAGAAAAGGGGACCAAGAGAAACATGATCATGTATTTCTGCTCCGCTAGCAACACTGGACATCAACCACATGGCATATGCTAATAACTTTAGCATAGAACATCCCAAAGACGTTCAATGAGTTTAAGGAGCCGATTCATGACTCTTCATGCTCCTCACAACCATTCTTTCACAGTTCGAGCCTGATGAATCTTGACATTATCATCCTGGAATATGGCCGTGATGTGTCTTCCTACATGTTTTTTTGAAGAAAATAACCTTACCGACATCTAATGGGGAAAATTTGGTACTGCACACAAACAAAATCTTACTAAAAGCTAATTTCTTGAGATATCAACCTCAAATTTGGAACACGACTTGTTTAAATGTATGGCTTTGATTGTCTAGCAGTTTTAGAGTTCAACATGTTTCATAAAATATATATTTTAAATAAAATATTGTTTATAAATAATTTTCATAAACTTAAACATCTATAACTTTTTTTGTTTTACTTTTTAAACTTTTTTTTTTTACTTCAACAATAATCTGTCACGGGTCATCTTTAAAACAAGACCACACTTAAGTCTGTGCTCCCAAGCTTAACATTTTTATGACACTCTTGACACATTTAATGACATTTTTGACCACTATTGACCAATGTGTACATTTTTTTAATTGACCACACTCCACCAATTAGGGTTAGAAGAACTATTGCCAAACATATAACATGATAGAAACATAATAATCACTGCAATAATGATCCAATCATAGACCCTTAACAATTTTCCTATTTAAATACAAACCGCTACTTTTTTATGTTCTTTTTTTTTTCCTCTGGGCATACAGTAAATCTGAGATTGTGGATTTGTGTGCTGTAAAAAATGATTTCCATTACACGAGAGTAGATGTCAAAACTTCATGCTGATTTGTACTCGGCTTTCGCCAAGATAAGCAACACTAAGACGTAGCTTTACAGTAAACTATGCTTCACCCATTTACGCTTCTTTCCATATGGTGGTGTGACTCCCCCTTCTGTCCGGCGTTAACGTTAAATATCTATAAGAGCATTAATGTTCTCAAAACTTTTACGAAATGGCAAATCTTGTGTACCAAACACAAACATTAATTGCATTTCTAAACCTCTGCAATTTCCTCTGTTTCATTGCTTGAACTGTAACAGCCCTGATAAGGAAGCTGAAGTCTGGCTTTATCTGTGTCCGAAGGAGCGAGTGGCAACTCCTCCGCAGTGTCTGTGACATTTGGACAGTAATTGGAACGATGGCTAGTATCTGTCAACAGCAGAAAGCAGAAAACATCACTGATGCGACTTGACATACATGACCGACATACAACCCTGCAATCTGATGCCCTTTTCCCTGTTTTAATTCTGCAGGATGCCATTCAAACAAGATATGCTGTTTTCCCCCGTATTGTTCTAGGTGAGAAATATTCAAGGTAAAGAGCTCTTTATGTTAAACAGTTTACAAAGTAGTTCTTCTCGTTGGAACATAAGCCCTGCTATACGAATGATGTGCTTTTGTTTCCCACTAAAACAGCTGGGAATCAGATGGTACTGATGTAAGTAACGGAGACTTCCTCTGTGATGGAAAAGTGTGTGTGTGGTCTATGCCCTTCCAGACACTTGAACTAATATAGGTCCTTCACAATATAACAGTGAGAACATTTAAGAAGCCAGAAAGTTTCCTAATGAGATCAAATTCAGAACAGCATCCCAACAGACGTCTTTGTTGAAAAGACATTTGTTGTGTGTCTTTTCTGTTACATGGACGAAAGAAACTCATGCACAGGAACTACGCGACCTGAACTCTGGCTTCACAGTTTCAAGCGAAATTAAAGAATTAATTTGGTGTGACGTCATTTCAAACAAATTCAGGCCAAAACAAAGTTCATTTAGTAGTTCGAAACAGCTTGCCAAAGCGAACTTTCCAGAAAAGTTATTTAGAACTAAACCGGCTGGTAAACGCCTCTGAACTCCCATTGGTCCGTGGTGATGATGTAATAGGTGGGTGTGTCTCTGAGGCTCCGCCTTCTTTAACATGTAAATTTTCTCCGGTTCATTTCTTCTGTTCAGTTCGTCGAGGTCAGACGCGAGTAAAAACATGAACACACTGGACAGACGTGACAGTTTTTTCATGTGTGATTACTGTAAAGCTGCTTGCTTTTAAACAATCTATTCTATAAAGGGATTTAGATAAATAAACGTGACTTTACAGGAGTGCTGAATTGCATTCATATCGCTATGATCAGATGCTTTCTAAACTGCTGTTTTCTCACCGCTGACATTTTTGTTGTGTTTATTTTGTTAGCACATATTTACATATTCATCTTAACATCTCTCTCATCAGTGTCGGGACGTTCGCTAACAGTAAACCGCTGGTCATGTATTTCTAATCTCTTTGTACCCCTAAGCGAAGAACGAACGGGCCTTAAAGGAGTAGTTCACTTTTTAAAAAACTTTTGCTGATAATTTACTCACCCCCATGTCATCCAAGATCTTTCTTTCTTCAGTCGAAAAGAAATTAATGTTTTTGATGAAAACATTCCAGGATTTTTCTCCATATAATGGACTTCAATGGTAGCCAAACGGTTCAAGGTCCAAATGACCGTTTCAGTGCAGCTCCAAAGGGCTTTAAACGATACCAGACGATTAATAAGGGTCTTATCTAGAGAAACGATCGGTCATTTCAAAAATAAATAAAAAAGTTAAAGTTTTATAGGCACAAATGCTCGCCTTGCGAACTCTCCTGTTCGAACTCGTTCATCAAAATGAACGAATCTTTTTTCGAGTCATTGACTCGTTCATCAAAATGAACGAATCTTATTCGAGTCATTGACTCGAAAAAAGATTTGTTCATTTTGATGAACGAGTTCGAACAGGAGAGTTCACAGGGTGAGCATTTGTGCCTATAAAACTTTAACTTTTTTATTTATTTTTGAAATGACCGATCGTTTCTCTAGATAAGACCCTTATTCATCGTCTGGTCTCGTTTAAAGCTGCACTTAAACGGTCATTTGGACCTTGAACCGTTTGGTGCCCAGCAAAGTGCATTATATGGAGAAAAATCCTGGAATGTTTTCATCAAAAACATTAATTTCTTTTCGACTGAAGAAAGAAAGACATGGACATCTTGGATGACATGGGGGTGAGTAAATTATCAGCAAAAGTTTTTTTAAAAGTGAACTAATCCTTTAAGAAGAAGAGCTAATATATTTTTATTAGGTTTACATTATAGCCTACTTTTTTTACTGTTCCCAGTAGAAAACGTCTCGCTCCATCCGCACTTCATAAACAGATCCTTTAAGACCTCTGTTTGCACTTGTCTACACCTCTGACCCATTTTCCTCAAGTAGTTTGGCATCAGAAAGCTGTCTGCAGGGGGAATGGGAGGTATTCGTGGGTTTAAGGGGAGGATCTTACGTCTACGTCGTCACAGAGCAGTGAGTTTGACCCGTACTGGAGCTTGCACTGGTGAGCGGCGCTGTACAGGACACCAGCGGGAGATGAACGCTTCGACAGCTCGTTTCTGACGGGAGGATCATCCAGACACCAGCCCCAGCCTCGACTGTGGAGAACAACACACAAACACACCTCAGGAGACCCATTCTCACGTCAGTAGCCTACTTTCATAGGTTCCAATGTTACATTATCTTTACTGAACAGCCGCTTCGATCTAAAAAACCCCCCAGAAGTTGAGATAACTCAGAAAAGGCTTTTTTGAGGCCTTGTCGCCTTTGGCTTTTGGCTTGCTTAGTTGCGGACATTTAATATTCAACAATATTATTGATCTGTCTGCATTGACACCGTTATATGAGAACTGAACTGAGCTGGACGATGACATCACTGTTTTCTCCAGAGCGGCTATATATATAAATCAACTAAATTTATAACTTTTTTACACCAAACATGAACCATCACTGAACTTACTTAAGCTGGACTGTGACACTATTTTTTCTCTAGAAACAAACTTTGTCGCATTATTTTCCTGTTATCTCTGTAAAGCTGCTTTGAGACAATCTGTATTGTAAAAAGCGCTATATAAGGTGACTTGACTTGTCCACACTAATGCATTTGTGTTTGAAAACACATCTTTTTCTCTCTGTTTTGGCCTTGTGTCCACACTGAGACGGTGTTTTTAGCACCGAAAATTAAGCTTTTTGAAAACGCTCTCCAAATACATTTGAAAACTGTTGGTATTGAAACAGAGGTATTGAAAACAATGATGTAAGTTTAGTCATGTGACGCATATTGAACCCATAGATGTTCATGTTTATACTGGTATTGTGCCTGTTATGTGCTATTCAATTAGCCTGGGAAAACCCAGACAACTTCCGGCAAATTTAGATTTGCTCTGAAAGTTAGTCTGGCAAAGAGCTCATTCAAACTCATTTCCAATCCGCCGAAATCGCGGCACCAATCAGAAACGTTGGGGCGGGCTTTACACGATGACGACAGCGCTGGGATTTTGAAGCAGATTTTGTAGCCTACATTACAAAGATGGATGCCGCCGTCGAACATCACTCGTTCGAATCAGCTATCGCGTCTGTTTTAAGTGATTTGAACGTTTCCTTTTTGTTAAAAACCGAGCAAAGAACAACACTCGGAGATGTTTCTCCGCCGCTCTGCATACGTCATCTCCTTCATCGCTCTGATTGGGTTTAGGTCTATCCGCGACGTCCGTTGGTGACGCTCCTCTGGAAATGATTTGTCTACGCTTTGCCAGACCATAACTCAGTTACAACTGAGAATGGTCTGGTTTTAACCAGGCTACTATTCAATTTCACACAGTTGATAAAATATGTTTCTTTGCACACTCTTCATATCACAGTCCTGCAAAGATGACAGAAAATGCACTCGCAGTGAATGAGAGCAATCTGAAAATATTACATAAGCCCTCAAAACTTGCAGTGGAGATTGCTGAAAATGCTCACCAAAAAATATTCCCATTGTTGATACTAAATCTCACTTTAGTTTAATTTTTTCCAGATGCTATTCTACAATGTACAAGAAAAACCAGCTCAACTATATAGAAAACCTTCCAGACATAAAAAATGGCTATAGTGGTACAATATTTAGTTTTTACAAAAACAAAACTCTTCGAGTCAAAGCGGACAGTGTGTCATCCTTTAATTCAGTTTTTTGTACTAAAACTCAAATAATACAGGAGAAAACACACACAACAGCTAGAACTGACACATTGGGTAATTGGATACATGGTGCTGCCAATATCCTTTTATAAGCACACAATTGAGTAAAGACTGAACTGTTCAGACAACAAGGAGAGGTTCCTTCGGGACACATGCCATCTGTCTATAAGCCTCCCAAACCACATGGTCCTTCCCTCAAATTCTCTGTAACACAGTCCCTATTTAAAAAAAACAACCAGCATAAGTGTGTAATATTACATCTACAAGTCAATATCGTTTACAGGGCTTTCCAATACACACACAAAAGACATTAACAGAAAAGAGACTAACAGAAGTAGGATTTGAACTGGAACGACAAGAGGAAGAATTTACTGAATCTAACACGGGAAATGATATCATGGGAAATTTCAGTCGCGTATGAAATATTGAGAATATGGAGCTCACACTCAAGGAGGAAAAAACAAACTGAGACAGTTGTTATTGTTATTTACAGTATATGTCCAGAAATCATGATAGCTTGCAATGTAAATCAATGAGATCTTTATAATAAGAGTATAGCAGACTAATTAAGGTACATAATCGCATTTAAACATCAGTTGTTATTCTATATCTGGCAATAATATGTCTTAGTAAGATGAAATAAAAGCTTCTTCAATGTGCATTCAGTCTTTTCAGCCACTGTAGATATCCAAACAATGATCTAACGGCTCTCGTCTGCACAAGAGTGTAACACACAGATAGACTAATGGTACAGGGGTAGGCCTGAGCAATCAAAAATTAAAGCCATTAAGATAAACTCATTTCTCATTTCCTGATGTATCCGCTTGGCCTAGAGATATTGTAACATATCCTGTGTTTGGGCACTGGCAGTTGTGTTAAACATTTCCCCTCATTTCAGGCCAAGCTGCAGTAGGCAAGCCTTGTCTAATGTGCTCCATCTGGCAGGCAACACAACTAGTGTAACTAAGACAGAAGAATCAACACAGCCGGGCTCCTTCTTCTTGGGAAATCTCAGCCATTCACATTGCCTTTGGCAACACACACATGCAAAGGTCAAGAAGGACAGAGCCAGCTTGTTGAGAGAGAGGGTAAAAGACTGATAAAGCCGTTCCAATGAACTCCATTTACTTTCCTTGAGTGTAAAATCAAAGGGTACAACGATTACTCCAATTTGTGCCATCAGACAGTCACAGAAGTAGCCATCAGTCCATTTTATGCAATAGTTATTCATTCCACAACTTGGAGGAATGCTTTCATGTCCCTTCTTCTCTACTGGGTTTTTACAACTTTCAATAATAATAATAAAAAAATACTGTGACAATGTTTCTATTTTTTACAAGATGCCTGTATATTTTGGAACTTATAACCATATATTTCATTAAGTGATGTAATGTTAATATACCTACTTTAACTAACAAATCCATTTTTAAAATGTACCGAAAACCACCACAATAATACATTGTGTTCGTAAGTGACCTGTTCATGAAACACAGTCGATACTCATATATAGATGTTGCACTAAGACAAAACACTCACATGACACTAAAAGAGCAATAAACAATAACTAAAAACACACTAATGTACATTACACAAATTTTTTTTATAAGACATGCAATCATATGTGATGTGTAATGCAGGGAATTTTACTGTGTTTTTACAGTAAATTAAATGGTAATTCATAGTTTATACTTTCAAATACCATAAATTTGACAGAATTTGACAGTAAAATTACATATAATGTGATGTTAAACCATTTACAGGTTTTCCCCATATATGGTAAGGTAACAAAGTAAACCAATTAACATGTTTTTATGTTAACATGTTAATATTTTTTACAATATTTTTCTGGTGAAAACTGGAAAAATTAGAATTTCGTGCAAAAGCTCTTTTTTTTCAGTAATTCAACTTAAAAGGTGAAACTAATATATTATATAGACTCATTACATGCAAAGTGAGATATTTCAAGCTTTTATTTGTTATAATGTTGATGATTATGGCTTACAGCTTATGAAAACCCAAATTCAAAATTAGAATATTGTGAAAAGGTTTTCATAAGCTGTAAACCATTATAATCATCAAAATAATAACAAATAACTAGAAATACATATTGACTGTAGAACTTCCAAATAAATCCATAACTTAGCAGTTTTTTTTAATTTCCATGACTTTTTTCAGGCTTGGAAATTCCAATTTAAAAAAAATCCCTGTTATTCCAAGTTTTCCATGAATGTCTACTACTATCTATCTACTATGCCTATGAATGACAAAAAGGCAAATAAAAAGTGACAATTAAAAAAAGGCAGAGAAAGACATCGTTGTTAACTTACTCGAGGAAGCGTGTGATGTACTGACGACTGCAGCGGGACCAGTTTGGTGGAGAGGTGCCGTACAGGAGCTGTGGAGACATGACGAAAGGCCTTTTCCCGATGGGCTCGCAGTCATTGCCGTTCCCATCATGCTGAATCCCAAAGCTGTGGCGTAAGAGCAGATCGGACAGTGAGAGGCGAGAGAACAGATAGACTGGCTTTAGGACCTATTTCACATTGGCTCACTGTCTGTCTGTCTGTCTGTCTGTCTATATGTCTGTCTGTCTGTCTGTCTATCTAACTGTCTGTCTGTCTGTCTGTCTATCTGTCTGTCTGTCTGTCTATCTATCTGTCTGTCTGTCTGTCTGTCTGTCTGTCTGTCTGTCTGTCTGTCTGTCTGTCTGTCTGTCTATCTATCTGTCTGTCTGTCTGTCTGTCTATCTATATGTTTGTCTGTCTGTCTATCTATATGTCTGTCTGTCTGTCTATCTATCTAACTGTCTGTCTGTCTGTCTGTCTATCTGTCTGTCTATCTGTCTGTCTGTCTGTCTATCTATCTATCTGTCTGTCTGTCTGTCTGTCTGTCTGTCTATCTATATGTTTGTCTGTCTGTCTATCTATATGTCTGTCTGTCTGTCTGTCTATCTATCTATCTAACTGTCTGTCTGTCTGTCTGTCTGTCTGTCTGTCTATCTGTCTGTCTGTCTGTCTGTCTGTCTGTCTGTCTATCTATCTATCTGTCTGTCTGTCTGTCTATCTATATGTTTGTCTGTCTGTCTATCTATATGTCTGTCTGTCTGTCTATCTATCTAACTGTCTGTCTGTCTGTCTGTCTGTCTATTAGGGGTGTCCCCGACTAAGGATTTTCATAGTCGAATCAGATTCGTCAGGTCCTGCCTATAGTCGACTAATAGTCGAATCATGTGTGGGCGGGGGCGGGGCTTTAACATTTTAAAGCCGCGATGTACAGAACATCACACAAAGATAAAGAAGAAAATGTATAAAAACATTTTGGATCAATAAAACTAAGAAATAACATAAATAACTGCAGAAAGGCCACACTGCAGATAGGATTTGCATTTCACATGCAAATCAAATTAAATCGGCTGAATTGCCTGTACGAGCATGCTCTATGTAGGCCTACAGCGCAACATCGATGCACTGAAAAATAATCAACAATTAAGAACATAATATACTTTTATAATAAATAAAAATACAAAACGAAATAAGTCAGAATCAAATCACAAGAAGCAGAACAAATGTGTGCAAAATGCCTAAAGTGCAGGGGAACAAAATTCAAAACACAAGTCACAAATAGTTAAATTAGATCACCCTGAGTGATCAATTAATAAAATAAAAATAAAGAAATTATTAAAATAACGAAAGTATGGCCAGGATGGTCAACTTTGTCTTTTTAACTGCAGAAACAACAATAAACGCTAAACTGGAGCGGCAGTCTTTTTAGCTAAACGTGTTCACAGTATCCAAAAATCTAATTAGAACCGGCTGAAATGTTTTGAAATCACTTATTCATACCTGATCGAAAAAACTAAATCCAGTCTTTCACTCGGCCTGTGTCCGTTTGAGTCTTTTCAAATTGTGTGCGCGGATAAAATATATTCTAAAACGCTTAACGTGAAAAACGCTTAACGGCTTTGTCCTAAAACTGTTATATTAAAAGATCAAATTCTGTACACACCTTATATTAATAAAGCATACTATATAGCCTACAGAAAAGCAGATGAGCCCAGAATATGAACGCAACGCGTTTTATTATAACTTAGGCTACGTTAAGCATTTTCCTCCCATAGAAAACCGTTAAAGAAAAAGCTTTACGTGACTTTCAATAGGAGAAACGCGTTGCGTTCATATTCTGGGTTCATCTGCTTATCTGCACATAGAATGGTTTCTTAAGGTGTGTAGCCTACTGTGTACATACATTAAGCACGTAAAAGTGCCATTTAAGCGTTTTAAAAGCTTTTTTCACGTTAAGCGTTTTAGAACGTCCCGAGGAAAACCAGCCTGTTAACGTTGGCCGGCAGAAGTGCTTTCCTGATGCTGAATCCAGCCTTGGAGAATATCCTTTCTGATGGTGTGCATCTTTAGATTGTCTTATCCCAGACATTTTTAAAGATTTAAATCCCTGCCGACAAGACGCTCCTCTGTCGGTCACGGATCGAAAGTGAAACTTAAATCTGTCACGGGGTGTTTGGATTTATTCACCCTGCGCGCACGTTAAAATATTTATTAAAAGCTTCTTTCTTTGCACATTTTTATCGACAGCATTATCATAATAGGCTGTATATTAACATATTGACAGAAAACCAGTAGTTCTATGTGAAATCAGACATTGAGCACACTCATATAGCCAAAATGACATAATCCTCGTTTAATAACACATCTGCGAAGATTCGACCGTGAGATTGGTAGTCGAATCAGGCTCCTCCTATCGAAGCATCGAATCTTCGACTATTCGGGGTCACCCCTACTGTCTATCTGTCTGTCTGTCTATCTATCTATCTATATGTCTGTCTGTCTGTCTGTCTATCTATCTATCTATATGTCTGTCTGTCTGTCTGTCTGTCTGTCTGTCTGTCTATCTATCTATCTATCTATCTATCTATCTATCTATCTATCTATCTATCTATCTATCTATCTATCTATCTATCTATCTATCTATCTGTCTATCTATCTATCTATCTATCTAATTTGTATAGGGACAGTACAAAAAACATGATCCCAGTCAAAACTGGAAAATATGTATTGCACGTATAGCAAGTATAGCAAGAGCTAATTTGCATCTCAGGTCCCTAGAAAGGCTTTTCTAAAAAAAAAAAAAATCTGTACGCTATCTATATATCTGTCTGTCTGTCTATCTGTCTGTCTGTCTGTCTGTCTGTCTGTCTATCTATATATCTGTCTGTCTGTCTGTCTATCTGTCTGTCTGTCTGTCTGTCTGTCTGTCTGTCTGTCTGTCTATCTATCTATCTATCTGTCTGTCTGTCTGTCTGTCTGTCTATCTATATGTCTGTCTATCTATCTATCTATCTATCTATCTATCTATCTATCTATCTATCTATCTATCTATCTATCTATCTATCTGTCTGTCTGTCTGTCTGTCTGTCTGTCTGTCTGTCTGTCTGTCTGTCTGTCTGTCTGTCTGTCTGTCTGTCTGTCTGTCTGTCTATCTATCTATCTATCTATCTATCTATCTATCTAATTTGTATAGGGACAGTACAAAAAACATGATCCCAGTCAAAACTGGAAAATATGTATTGCACATAGAGAGTATAGCAAGAGCTAATTTGCATATCAGGTCCCTAGAAAGGCTTTTCTAAAAAAAATTAAATAAAATAAAAAAATACAATAAAAGACTACTACTCATAGAATAAAACTACCACAATGTGTCACTTACAGACAATCTAATACCTACCTAAAATTATACATATCAGAAATTAGCTGTTTTATTTGTGATAATAATGCAATAAAACATGCCAAATTGTGTTATAATATTTGGCCAGGCTGGCATACAAAGAAAATTATGAACACATGCAAAAGTAAGAGAGATCTAACGAAATATTAAAACTGTTTATGCTGTAGTCGATGTTCCTGTGAGCTTTTTTTTTTTGTTTCTATGCCAAGCTTAGAGTTTTGTTCTTCCCTCATATTGAAAGTTTTTTTGATATTTTTGTTATGGTTTAATCGAACTTGTAGGGTCATTATAATCAAATACCCCCTCCGGACATCACTTTTGGCCAAATGCTTAGCAAAATAAAAACATGAGCTTCACATCTCTGGTTTATACACCGACTTGCCCCATAGACTTGCATTATAAGTGCATTATCCACCTATTCAAACAAATGGAGGGGCCGGGCGAGGCAAAATAATTCTCTGTTATATTTCACAACATGTTACAGATGCTGTTGCTAAAGCTTGTTTTGAGCATTTCTTAAACTGTACATTGGGGAAATTCACATTTTCCCATATATTACAAAGACTGCTGTCTCAGCAATAGCAGTCTAGAAACACAGTTAGAGACTCTTGCTGAGTCCCGCTGTGCTTGACCGTTTATCATGAAATCATTGTTTATATTTCTATGTGGTGTGACCACAAACATTTTCAAAAGGCATGCGCGCAGAACAAATGGCACGAGATCAAATAAACTCTAAGTCGAACCACAAGTCTCTAATATGCCATTTAATAGCACGTTCTTAAGAGAAAACAACAAAACAAATCTACGTTTCTGCACCTACATCCATTAGGCTTCAGAAGTCATTTGCAGGCCGCCTTCATTTACATAATGGTCTGGAACAAACACTGACGTCTTAAAAACTATTTCATGTTATCTTGAAGGGAACTCTACACAATGAATCAAACAGATCTGATTGAAATATATCTGGAGAGATGCTGGCTCAAATTCAGCAACTGTAATTGGTACCAGAAAGAGTCTCTCATGTCAAAAAAAGAGCGAATATTGCGAGTGAATATTCAGTGTGTGATGTCCTTACACTGCCTGCAGTAAAGTGTGTGTTACTGGACTATTAAAGCAACAGAACTAATGCATGTTTCATCAAGGACACCTTGGCTTTCGGAGACACACAAAATGAGCAATTTACATATGCAACACTGTCTATTGTTAGTGAGACTGGAGTCTGTATTGGTTTCGAAACAGGTGTCAGTTTGTGTATTGCGTGTGTGTGTTTACTGAGTGGTTTCCCTACAGTAGTTCAGGCTGCATGATTTATAAATGTCTAAAGAAACACTATCAAAATACATTTCTTGTCTATTATCACCATCTGCAACTTCTACCAGCGACGGAAACAAACGCAGGTACAATAGCAAAATATCTGAGAGCATTGCTATAGTGTGACAATATTGTAGGTAGCACTTCGATTAATACAAATCAAAACTAGTTAGCGCATAATTTATAATCTGAAGGGTTTAATAACAGGATTTGGTTATGGTTACACTTGAATTAGTTACAAAAAAGATGATAGTTATGTGTAAAACCATGTAATTATAAAGAAGTATAGACCATACATTGACCAGGCTCAATAAGAAGAGATTTGATTGTTACATCATTACCGTTTTTTTAACTTTTATTCAGAAAGGATGCATTAAACTGATAAAAAGTGACAGTAAAGACTTTTAATTTCAAATAAATGCTGTTCTTTTAGGCTTTCTATTCATCAAAGAATTCTGAACACGGTTTCCACAAAATCTTAACCAAGTTTTCAACGTTGATAATAATCAGAAATTAAGCAAATCAGCATATTAGAATGATTTCTGAAGGATTGTGTGACACTGAAGACTGGAGTAATGATGCTGAAAATTCACAATAATAAATTCCATTTGAACATATATTAAAATACAAAACAGTTTATTTCATAAGACTGTGAGGTGTTTGATAACTTATTCAATTTCTGCATATTTCTGTATATATACCTGTTAGACCGACCTGAAAATCTTAAAGCACTGTTTACGAGGTTACATGGGTCAATAAATGTTAAAATTGATGGCTATAATCAATGATTAAAATTGAGGGGAAAAAGTCAATTATATATAGAGACGTCAGTAGCAGTATTCATATTGGCCTTCTTTCATAAAAAAGCCATTAAACAAACATTTAAAATATAGGCTTCTGTCTTTATGTTTTTTCTTCATTCATTTGGAGATTAAATATGAAATTATTACAATATAAAAAAATAATAAAATGAATCCACCGCTCTCTTGTCTCATCTGAGGCCGGGACTCTCAGTAGTGTTCAGTGCTCGTCTGTACGACAGAACGGTTTCAGGCTTTGCTCGAACTTTTGCCGTTGTGTAAGAAATGGTCACTGTTATCGCTCGCGACAGCCGACTGTCGCACGCATGCTCGCGGTTTATCCAGCACCGGCTTTGGAATGAACTATGTCCACAGACAAGGTAGAGTATGTTGCATGATTTCATGAAAGTATGATGTATTGCGACATCAGAAACGAAGAAAAACAAAGTAATGACTATTGTAACGCTTGGCGTAAAGCAAGTCAAATTTGTAGTTTTCTTATGTCTCATTAGAACTACAGTTATGGAAGCTTGTTTCCGCCACAAAAAAAAAAAAAAAATTGCGACTTTTTATCTCACAATTGCGAGATATGAAGTCAGAATTCTGAGAAATAAAGTCGCAATTCTGAGAAATAAAGTCGCAATTGCGAGAAAAAAAGACAGAATTGCGACTTTTTCGCAATTCTGACTTTATAACACATAATTGCGAGTTTATATCTCGAAATTCTGACATCTTTTCTCAGAATTGTGAGATATAAACTCGCAATTGCGAGTTATCAGGCCAATTCTAAGGGGGAAAAAAGACTAACTTTTTTCCCCTCCGAATAGTTTATATTTTACAATTCTGACTTTACAACACGCAATTTCGACTTTATATTACGCAATTCTAACTTTACAACACGCTATTTTGACTTTATGTCACGTAATTCTGACTTTATAACACGCAATTGCGACTTTATATCAATCAATTCTGACTTTATATCTCGCAATTCTGACTTTATATCTCGCAATTGCGACTTTATTTCACGCAATTCTAACTTTACAACACGCAATTGCGACTTTATTTCACGCAATTCTGACTTTACAACACGCAATTGCGACTTTATATCACGAAATTCTGACTTTATATCTCGCAATTACGACTATATCACGAAATTCTGACTTTATAATCTGCAATTACGACTTTATATCAATAAATTCTGACTTTATATCTCGCAATTCTGACTTTATAACACGCAATTGCGACTTTATATCAATCAATTCTGACTTTATATCTTGCAATTCTGACTTTATATCTCGCAATTCTGACTTTATAACACGCAATTGCGACTTTATATCAATCAATTCTGACTTTATATCTTGCAATTCTGACTTTATATCTCGCAATTCTGACTTTATAACACGCAATTGCGACTTTATATCACGAAATTCTGACTTTATAACCTGCAATTACGACTTTATATCAATAAATTCTGACTTTATATCTCGCAATTCTGACTTTATAACACGCAATTGCGATTTTATATCACGTAATTCTGACTTTATATCTCGCAATTCTGAGAAATAAAGTCAGAATTGTGAGATAAAAAGTCGCAATTACCTTTTTTATTTTTCATTCTGTGGCGGAAACAAGCTTCCATAGAAACGCGACCTGCCTTTCACCCTGTTACGACTTGATGAACCACTGAAACGATTTTTTGACATGCTTGCAGAGAAAGGCTAACCAAAACAAAGTTAGGTTGTCACTTTTCATGTTTTCTGGGTTGGTAGACGCACCGGGGACGCACCGATTATAGCACTTAAACATGGAAAAAGTCTGATTTTCATGACGTCACCTTTAATGTTAGGTGCGATTAATCGAGATTACTCCCAGAAAAATAGTTTGTTTTTGTAACCGACTGACAGCACTAGTTCTACAGCATGTATAATGTGTGTTCCAGCACTTACTTGTGTCCGAGCTCATGTGCAACTGTGAACGCCAGAGGAAGGCCCGTGTCTTCATTAATACTGCAGCTGCGGTGAGGCTGACACATTCCAGCCACATGAGACAGTCCCAACGTCTCACAGGGCTTATTGATGGCGGCACAAATGTCTTTCCTGCGTCACAGAAAAAGATGCATTATACTGTATATGTAAAGCAATGTAAAACTGATTAGAGTTAGGCCAGATGTACCTAGTGATCAGGACAGCCACATCATGATGGACTGGATGATCGTCATCCTTCATGTTAATGCCTTTCTGCCACTTACAGAAGCTGTTCAGGCTGTTGTCTGCATGATGGGTGATCTTCAAATCCTCCTGATAATACATGATAGTATTAAATACATAAAGGAAAATTGCATTTACATCTATGTACAGTATGCAAGGATGAAATAGGATTGAGTTTAAAGAAGAAATACAGTTTAATTGTTAAACTTGCGTGGATTTGTGTAAAATAAGTTTTATTGCAGCTTTTTTTTTAAAGATATATGTTGTAGAATGAGAGTTTAATACAACTCTAATATGCATTTGGTGAAAATGGAGGGTTTGCATAGTAAACACAATGCATATAAATAAAATTCAATGGAAACCTTAATGCAAAAAAAGCTTAATTTTAAGGAAAAGCTTTCTATGTTTGTGGCATTCACAGCCTAACACAATTTATAAATTGATTCTCATGTGTTTATTTAAAGAAGGCATATTTGAGCTAATGGCATTTAAAACCAATCTGGAGTGCATTTCCTAAAAGCATCATTAGCCAACTATTTGCAATTTCGTCATTACCAACATAGATCAAAGATTCAGTGTTTCCCGAAACCATAGTTTCAAGTCTTCTGAAGAGACACTAATGCTATTCCATAAGAACAGTGAAGTTTGTCTCACATGTCAAGCAGTTGTGCTTCTGTTTACCATATTTGATGTGCTCTGATGCAAACAACATCTATATCTTTAATGCACAAGTCTCTAGGAGAAAACACCTCAAAAATGACCCCTGACCCCAAAAAACATAGAAATATAAAATAGTATATAAAAGTCTCTGTGCCTGAATGGGTTAAGAGGGATTTAGATAATAATACCACAAACAACATTGCTTAATAAAACTGTTGTGTGGGTTATTGCTTTGTGTCCTTCCTACAGCACAGCATTTACAGCTGCAGATTCAAGACACAAACACACTGAACGAACAACTAATAACGGTTATTTACAAGAGTGACAACCATACGTAGTGTGTACAGAAACAAACTGAACAACTAGATGACGCATTTAAAAGCACATCAGAGATGTGTGTCTCTGTTCTCCAGATGTGGAGCAAGCAAATCTGCTTTCTTCACTGTAGTTTCTCTCAACAGACCTGTGGTCCACGGGTTAATATTAATATTACATTGGGCAGAAGAAACCAACAACACATTACTAAATAAACTGTATTTATTCATGTTTCTTGTTTGCAGCCTTAAATCAAAACTCTTTCTATGGCTATTACTATGTCAATAAACACATTACAGTCATAATAATAATAATATTTTAAACAATTATTTATTGTTTATCACCAAGCTCTAACTCACCAGGCAGCAAATGCGAGTAAAAATATTTTCTTTGGCAAGCAAATAACTAATTATATTTGTATGTGATATACGTATATGTACGTACTGTATAGTGATTCAAACCCAATACAGCTTCTTGTGTGATATGCGTTTTCTAAAAGTTGCAACTAAGTGGAAAATGTACCACCACCAAGTTTAACTGATGCTTTTTGGCATTTCTCTCTCTTCCGAACACCATGTGGTGACACAAATGGGAAAAGTGAGGAACTGTGATATCCGACATAAATCAGAGATGGTCCGACCCCTGAATTGGGTGATTCACTCCTGCATTTAAACGCAGTCGTCACTCCTAAAACCATGTGTGTGCCTTAGTGCACCAGCTCTGTTTTACAGCATCAATGTTGATTCAGAACGACTGCATGTATTTTTAGAGCAAGGGTTTGCATGTCTGCTTTGTCATCTCACTTACCTCGTCCTTTTCCAGCAGAATGAGACGCACGACTGCAATGTTGATGGAATTTCCGATGCTGGCATCCCGAAACAACCCTGCCACCTATAAAACACAGCACTCTCACATATGAAGAGCAACATTGCAACCCTTCTACTACAGTGAACTACATTGTAAAAAATGATCGTGATTTTAACAGTAAAAGACTGTAAAAATGCTACGGTGAAAAACTGTTAATTGGTTCACAGAAATTTCCGTACTATATACAGTGAATAGCTGTTATAGATCTAACCATACATTTACTGTAATTTTACGGTAAAATGTACAGTTTTTGGAAGTGAAAAAGAACAAGTCATTGTATAATTTACAGTAAAAAACCGAAATTGACATTCCCACAAATTCTCTGCACGACACTTCGCATTTGATGTATTTTTGTTGAAATAACTGTCTTCATAGTTTTTTTTTTCTAATCAGGTATGTAGATTAGGGTTTCATGTTAATCTTTTTAATATTTAATCTTGTTAGATTAATATTTAATGCATTTTTAAAATTTCATGTATGTTACCATGATGATGTTTAGTGTTTGTGTGAATGACACTGTGCATCTTCTATATAATAGTATTGACTTTCTTGTGGAAAAGCTGCTTGTGATGAGCTTTGATTCATCATGTGACTCTCATCACCACTGTGACTGGTGGTTGTCAGTGTATTACAGTGGTACCAAACAAATATTAGTACTTCAATAGGTCGGTAAATTACCATTATATCAGATAATGAATTTTTTTTTTTTTTACTGTAAATTTAAGTTAAGTGTGTAAAACCTAAAATGTTGCTACCGTATTTTTTACGGTAAACTTCAGGCAACAACAGCTGCCGTTTTTTTACTGCAAATTTGACTGAATTTTTTTGACAGTGTATCCATTCTGGTTCATAAACTCTATGATAATACTTAATGTTTTACAATTTTTAATGAGTGGAAAGGGGAGAGAAATCCAATAGCCGCTGCTTTCAGAAAATGTGAAGAGAAATCAGACTTTTAAGGCGCTGCCAGCTGAGGTCATCACAGATCTTTACAGGTGTTTAGATGAAAGTCGGGGAGCTGAAGTCCCCTAAATAGGGTCTAGGACTGATACTGAACTAAGGCGTTTCGCACAGAAAGAGCTTCTATTGGTGAAGTTCTGCTCTCACATCAAAGCTCTCCTTGAGGTAAATGCGGTCTGAAATGTGAGAGGCATTTCTATGCTTCGGTGGGGCTCATTACAAAATGTTCCAGTGAATCAATGAGGCATCTTTGATGCTGTTCTGTCCTTTTGAGGTGAAACATCTTTTGAAAGGCTGCTTAACTTTATATTTTACAGGTTTCGGGTGCAAACTTTACAGCTTGAATGGAATATACTGGCAGATATATTTAGCCAGGTTAGAGATATAAAACAAATAAAGGGACCTTTTTAAATAGATATAGTAAGTGTTAGTATTAAAGGAGCTGTATGTAAGAGATGTATTTCAATTAATCATAAAATGGCCCTGATGTGTCTCTAGACATTAAGAAATCATGTTCATTTCAAATACTTATATCACTGAAAACAGTAGTACGGCCACGATATTGTCATTTAAAAAGTGAAGTTGCAGCCCTCAACTGATGTTGATGTTGTCATCTTGTGTTTTGGCCTGAAGCCCCACCCTCCACCAATCTACCAATCACGAAGTCAGTAGTGTTTCGGCATCCGGGTTGCCAGCTCTGCTCTAGTTGAAAGCTCCTTGTAGCAGCCTATGTTCCTGCTGGATCCTGCAGCCTATCTGGCAACCTCAGTCAGGGGGGAGGGGGAGGGGATACACAGCTCTAAAGTAATTTGAAAGGGATTGCAGTACCAATTTTGGCCACAATCTTACATACAGCTCCTTTAATGAGTCAATTGTTGCCGAAAAAGACTGTCCAACAAATAATGTTCATATTGAAGGCTATGAAAACAAATACAGTGAATATTATCATGTAGGCTATGCTATATAAGAAAAAAGGGTTAAAATCACATTATTTTATATCTAAAATAAAACATAATGCTTTTTAAAGCAGAAGTTAAAATGAAAATAAAAACAAAAGCACTTTATAGTTTTACAGTTTACACTGATATCATAAAAATACACTTGTTTAAAATTCTACTTATGGCACATTTATTGTCCAACAACAAATATTATAGCAAAATGTATATTTAAGTCAGAATTATAGCGCTCCTATTCTATTGCGCTCGTACTTTACTGAAGTCTGTGAAGTTTAGCTGAGACTCGCTTGCATAAGCCTCGTCCACTCCTGACAGCAAAATGGAAATATTTTCATGACTTTCTAACATTTACAGATGGAGAATATACCTGTGAAATGTAAGTTACGCACCACATCAAAGGTAAGCCGCTTTAAACTATACACATAACTATATCTTACGAGTTATTTTGAAGGCTTTATTATAAAGCATTTCTCACGTTTAGGACAAATTGGATTATGCACTTTCCCTGCAGCTGCTCGCTCTGTATCCACCGCTAGTTTTCAGATGCGTTCGTAATATCAAACTATCGATAGGTTACACTTTACAATACGGTTCATTAGTTAACATTAGTTAGCTACCTTAGTTAACATGAACTAAGAATGAACAATTATTCTACAGCATTTATTAATCTTAGTTGATATTAATTTTAACATTTACTAATACATTATTAAAATGAAATGTTGTGTTTGTTAACATTTGTTAATGCACTGTGAACTAACATGAACAAACAATGAACAGCTGGATTTTTATTAACTAACATTAACAAAGATTAATAAATACTGTAACAAATGTATTGCTCATTGTTAGTTCATGTTAGTTAACTAATGAACCTTATTGTTAAGTGTTACCTCGATATAAACGGTATTGCCTCATCTTATTTCATTTATAAAAAACATAGATCAATATATCTTTAAAAACTCGATATATACCGACCAGCCCTAGCAATTAGGCTCACAGTTTTTGCCTGACGGATGAAAAAACACATCATCTTCTTTAGGACTTATATTTAATGAGAGACCCGAGCCTTATCTAGACACCAGAATATCACAGAGACTCGAGGGTGGGCTCTTTTGACTGCCTCTTTTTGCTGTTGATGAAAAATCACTTTTCCCGAGAGAATCTCAAAAGAACGGATCAAAGATTCGGTGCTTCCACACAGCACAGTAAAAGATTGGCTGAGAGCCAGACTATTTTACCTAAAATTTGTGTGCTTTACATTTTTTTATTATTATTATTTTGCAATATCATGTTGCACTTAGATCACGCTAAAATCAAATGCTACTGAAAATAACTCAAACTGTGCTGGTTATGTAAAGTGTTCAAAATGCGTAACACACGACGATCCGCGAAGAAACTTCCATTAAAGGTGCCCTAGAATGTTTTTTTTAAAAATTATTTTATAATGTTTTCTGGGTTGCCCTTATAATGTTAGTATATTTTTTAGATCAAAAAGAGTCATAATTTAGAAATAAAAGGCATTTTTCCTAGCCTGATTTTAGCCTCTGTTTGAAGGGGCGTGTCTGCTGTGTGTAACCGGCCTCTGCTGTGATTGGCTGACATGCTTGCATATGAAATAGCTATGTATTACATGTGAAACTCTCTCGAATACTTTTACTACAGCTATTATACGTTTTTACTATTACAGCTATCGAGATTAACGAATCGTGAGATGTTTTTAAAGTATTTAGATTAGTGCTGGGCCGTTATCGGCGTTAACGTGCTGCGTTAACGTGAGACTCTTATCGGGCGATAAAAAAAATATCGCCGTTAATCAAAGTTGGGTTGGGATCATAAATAACTTTTTCGAATATCGTTATATTTTCGCGCAATTCTAATGTGTAGTATGACGCCGCGCCTACTGTCACAGATCGCTCAGTAGGGTATTTTCCTGTCAGGGACACAAGGTGTACTTTTACTTTGTTACGTTGGGCGACGTTCCTCTCGTTACTTTATTTTAATGCAATACGTTGTTAAATGAGTTTATTCCAAGTGTGTCCTTTGTATGGGCATGAGCGATGCTCATTTACAAATGAATCACTCTTTTGAGTCGATTCTGTTCAAAGACTTCATCAAACAAGTTGTCAGATGATCTGTCTAAATCGGTTCGCGAATCAGTTGATCTGTTCAGTTCCTCGCGCACTGAATCGTCTGAAGCGCTTTCAATTCACACTCGGAGTCGAAACAGGAAGATTTAAGAGCATCAAGAGCGTTGGATGAAGTGGCCGATCTACTAGTCTAGTGAATGCAAATCTGCAAATGCATCATATTTTTGCCAGCGATGAAGATCTTTATTAGTTGAACATCTTCGTAAGCTGTCTGTGAATGAATGATTCCACAGGACGATACATTCGATTTCATTTCATTCAGGTAATGCATGTGTGTGTATTGCGCAGTGGCATAATCACACGAATAGTTTACATTGATTGAAACTAATTTGTTTAAAAATGAGGCTATTGCAGTAACAAGGCAGGTTCACATAAAATTCTTATGACATATGATGACATTATTTTTTGATCTAACAAGCATTGGCGATGCAAAAACGGAATGTCGTGCGTATTGTTTTTTTTCTTCTTCCAATTAGCCTACTATGTTAAAAAAAAAAGGACGAAAACATGTTACTTGTTCAATTATTAAACAGTTTGTTTGATGACAAATCGCTAAAGATGAAATTGGCCTCCCTTTCTGTCATTGCGTTTTTTTTTTTTTTTACGATATTCGACTTTTGCTCCTCGATTGTCGAATGGCATTTTTGGCAGAAATGCACATCCCTACGCGAGGCAAAGACTTACTTTTAGTCATTATTTGGGTAGCACACATATTCTGAATGCCTTCGGGAGAATTCAAATGAGCCATTTTAATCTAGATTAATCTAGATTAATTTCAATATGAATCTAGATTAAAAAAATTAATCTATGCCCACCTCTAATTTAGATCATTCCCATCACATAGGCCTACAATGTTGCCGTGATGAGCATTGAGCAAGCAGATCACAGTCTGTTGATCGCGAGAATGAAGATCTTATCACTGCAACGCAGTTTCTGCTCTCTCTAATGCTTTCACCAATGCAAACACGATCATGTAAATACAGTAAGAGCTTCGTTGTGCAGTGTAACGTGCGTCATTGATTTCATAACGAGTTTGGCAAGTGTCCAGATAAACTCCCGCTGTGGAAAGATTGTTCTTTGATCGCTTTCTGTATATAATTTATTCACAATTTAAATAAGTTTTTTTTCATCCTACTAAAAGAAACGATGTGAAGCTGATATTTTAGTCACTGGCTTGACTTACTGATGCATAAACAGTATTGAACGATTTTGAGAGAAAGATTACCTGTCTGAACTTGAACAATTACACATCAGAAAGTGTTGCTTGGTAGCTCGATCCGAGGCCAGCTCTGTATTGGCCCAAGTTGAGGAAACAGTCGTCGGTGAAATGTTTGGAAATTTCCAGAAAAAATAAAATTAACCCATTTGTTTCTTCAGAGGCTCGGATGAAGGAACTAAAAAAATACTTTTGTGTTCATGTGTACATCCAAACACTGCAACTGCTATGCTTCGGCTGCGCAGTTCCGCCTGGCATTGAACATGGGCTGGCATATGCACATTTTTGGAGTCGTATATATTAATGATCCCGACTGTTGCGTCACAGTTGGTGTTATGTGGCTGGCGATTCGCCTATTTTTCAGGGGTGTTTTTCAAAAACGAGATTTAAGTAAGAAGGAGAAAACAATGGTGTTTGAGACTCACTGTATGTCATGTCCATGTACTGAACTCTTGTCATTTAACTATGCCAAAATAAATTCAATTTTACATTCTAGGGCACCTTTAACGCTTTATTTTAAAGTGTCCTTGTTACATATTGTAACGGCCACCTAGTGTTAAGTAGTGTTCATGACATGTTGATATGCCTTTAAGATGACTTCTTCTATGGCGTACGTTATTGTATGCGTGCTGTTCTTATGTGAGCGCGCACGCTCATGAGTGAGAATGTTCGCGCAACGAGGAAGATGACCGCTCTATGGCTGACTGCTGTTTTATTATAATGTGTTTACTTCCACTTTGATTTGTAGCCAGGGCCTGAAATTAACACCCGACCACCTGCCAAATGCGGGTGAATTTTGCTATTGGCGGGTAACACTGTCAATCTACCTGCCACATTGGCAGGTAGCCAATGAGAATTGAGTGATTCATTAGGTTTTTTTTTTTACGTTTTCATTTTCATTGCGTTGGACCTTAGCTATAATGTGGCGGCACATTACTGGGGTAAAAAGGCCAGCTGAAACAAACAACCAACAAAAAGATGAGGATGAGTCAAAGAAAAGTAAAAGAAGACATTTTAATACAAAGTGGTCAATTGGCGACAACGGCAAGGTTCGTGAGCGGCTGATTTATGACAGCGACTGTTGTTTCATAACGTTCATGCGATCAGAAAGAAGATGAGGCCCTTTTCTGACTACGTTTGGATGTGCGAGTATTAAACTGTTGGTGAGATGGAATGAGATAATGTAACGCTGACGTAGGCTCCAGAACAATGACAGTTGCACAGATGTGTGCGTGTGCAACTGTAGTACATGTTGGGAGTTGGGAACCGGTGAGAAAATGTCCGGTACCCGGTAACTTTACCAGTAATAATATTAATTTAGTTCTGCTTAACGGTTCCTGAACGCTGTAACTAAAAGCTGTCAGGACCTAGCTGTCTACGTGACTAAATCAGCCATCAACACAGCCGCGGGTGATTTGTTTGCATACGAGCTGCGGTAGGTCTATAGATCTGTTGTGCGTGTGTGTGTCAAAATCAATGAATAAAAAGATTTTTTTAAAATGTATATTCTAAGTTATTATTACTTATATTGATTTCGTTAATAACTTGACAGCAGTTAAATGTGTACAAGTTAAAGAACAATATTGTGAAATTCCCGTTTTTCACCTTTAGGCTATGAGGCAAAAAAAAAAAAAAAAGGCTGGTAAAAAGTCTCTGTGGCAGGTGAATTTTGATATCCACCTGCCACAGTGGCTGGTGGCCAAAAAAGTTAACTTCAGGCCCTGTTTGTAGCGTTTTACAGAGTGTTTTCTTTTCCCTGTTAACATCCGCTCTTTCGACGTATGTGAAGAATGTGCTTAACTGAAGGAAAGCAACTATAAAAGACTCGTGGAACTACCAGTTCGTTTGCACTGTCTTTCCTATTTTTCATCTGGGCAGACATCAAACTCTGACAGACGTTACAATATGTTACATGTACTTACCAAAGTAATAACAGTAAATTATGCATAATTACATGCAACTAACCCTCAAATCCTAATCTACCCTAACCCTATAGTAAGTAGGCTTAGGCTACATGTAGTTGCTTAATATTACTCAGTGCTTAAAAATATAATTACACTGTAACAATGACACATTAAAATAAAGTGTAACCGAAACTTCATAAGTTGCAGTCATCTTTTACTTGCATTCATCACTTTGAAAATTAGGTTCTGAATCATTACCTTCTTCAACAATACATAAAAACAACTCAAATACAGCAACAATGAGTTTATAATGCCAGAACTAAACCTCTGCCAACTCGGATAATGGAATGTTTCCCCTTTATAGAAGGTTCTTGTTCTTCAATACCAACCAAGTGTCTGGAATGGAAAACTTTTTTTCCCTGAGGGGCTTTTCCCTCCTCAAACACAGAAGCCAGACGAAGCATTCCGAGTATATTTTGGAAAATGTACCTAACAGACTGGATCTGTAACATGGTCAGCTGACTTGGATCCAGCTCAGGAGCAACTAAAGTGCTGCTGCCTAAAGGACATTGTTGCTATTTGAGGAGAAGAGAGTCGGAAAGCTAAAGGGAGGAAATGAGGATAGTTTAAGCACATCAGAGTTAAGAAGGTAAACGAAAAGTGTGGCTTTGGAAACTTTTCAGATTTTTTTGTGGGTGTTCCTGGCAAGTCTAATCATAACTGGGATCTTATGATTATAAGTTGAAACTCTGCAATTTACATAAGCTGTATGAACAGTACAAACAACGGTATTTGAAAAGATAGTGTGTGTATACATATATATAGTCACCCACTAGTCACATGTCTTCCTTTGATCTGTTTTCCTGCCACTCATCTGTTTCTATGGTTACTGTTATTTAGTTCATCATCTGTTCCACCTGTGTCTAGTTAATCATCTGTGTCACCTGGTTTCTGTTAATCTGTGTTCATCAGTGTTTGTATTTTGTTCCTTTCAGTTCAGCCAGTCTTTGTCCGTTCTCAGTCTTATTTAGGGGGCTTTTACACTGGGCTCGTTTGCTGCGGTCCGAGCCCGAGCGCGTTTGTTCCCGGCGCCCCCCGCAGCGTTGGTCTGGTTTCACACTCAACTTGATTCTATCGAACCCTGGTGCGTTTGCGTGCATGTGACGTCATCGCAAACGTGCACGGCGCATGATAGAAAACAGAACGTGGGTCAATATTGTTTTGTTTTTTTATTAATTCGCTGCTATTATGTGCAGTTGAGTGAACACTACAGGTTTACTGTGCGTGTGTCACATAAGGTGGACTTCTGCTGCTTGCAAACGGACTCTTTTTAGGAGACAGTGGATTTCCAACTTTGTTGCCCTGATTCCACGCGCAATGCACGAATACACTGCACGCAGGCTCACTCTCGCTCGTATCCAAGGTAAATAAACACTATCATCCCTTACAAGCGTTTTATTTAACTAAATACATCACAATAAGCTAAAAACGCATGCGCAGGTTACTTTACTTCCTGAACAAGTGCGCACCCGAGTCCGTGTTGCTTACACATTCACGCGAACCGCGGCACGGTTCGGGAGCAAACGAACTCAGACCACTTCTTCCAGGTAGTCTCGGGTTCGGTACCCCAGTGCGCACCCGGGTCCCATGACAGCGTTCACATTAGCGATTTTTCATGCGAACCGTGCCCCGTTCCGAACTAAACTGCCAGTGTGAAAGCCCCCGTGTGTTCATCCTGCCTGTCTGTACCCGTTGGAATTATATTAATAGTAAAAGTTTGTATTGGAGCTTTTTGCCTCTTCGTCTTCTTCAGCCTATACACACCGTGACATTTCCATTGCAGTTTTGCAAGACATTACTTATTTGAATTGCCTGAAAAAACACCTCATGCGAGGGTAAAAACTTTTTTGCTTAATATATGGGAGTTATTGCAAAATTGACGTGTTTCCAATGGGCGTATTTTCAATTCGCAATTTCAATTTGCGCAATTTGAAGGGTAAAAGAAACGCGGCTAGTAATAGTGATTCTCACCATTAATTAATTTATTCATAAATATGACTGTTACTCACAATATTCATGACAGAGAGCACATAGCTCACAACTCCTTTGCTTCCATGGTACTCCACCATTTTAGAATCAGCCACTACCAGAGTCTCGACCCACTTCTCAGAGCTGATGGATCGCTGTCTGATGCGCCTGCGCCGCTGCCGTCTCTCCCAGCGCTCTCGTTGCCTCTCCACCTGCTCTGCTTCTCCTAAAGGACCTAAAGAGAGTCACACTGGATGAATCATGTGACACCTGGGCAAAATTATTAAGCCTCATTGAATCCCTATGGGCCCTATCATACATCCGATGCAATGCAGCGCCAGGCGTGACGCAAGTGTGTTTTGCTAGTTTCAGCCTGACGCAGTTATTATTTTCACGTCGTTTAAATAGCAAATGCATTTGCGCCCATTTGTGCACCCATAGGCTTCTGGTCTGAAAACCAGGTGTTTTCAGGCGCATTGTTGGCGCGTTGCTATTTTGAGGAACTGAAATAGACTGAGCCATTGACCAACTGAAACCTGGTCTAAAGTCAATGGCGCAATATTTTTTTGTTATTTAAAGAGCGTGTTAGTAATGTGCACCTATAGGCGGGTCCACACTCACATTATTACACACACAGCAGCACACAAACATGCCAAATATTAAAAATAAAAGAATTACAAATGTAAAAGATTATTATTGTGTACATAAAGATATGGGGGAGTTTGCGCTTTAACCTCACACACACACAGCTTTAACCTTGCGTACGAGCAGATCAGTTTCCTTGCTAGAGAAGCGTTCAGTTTTTCCGCTTGCAAATTCCTCCATGTAAATAGTGAATCCGCCATGACGCGAGCGCAACTGGCTTTTAAAGGTAATGTGAAATTATACTCTGATTGTTTTTCTGCACGTTATGCCCAAAACACACCCATTACTCATTAAGAGAATAGGGACAACCCTTTTAGACCAAGCACCGGGTGCGCCGGACCAGTTCTCCTGTCCTTAAACTAGCAAAAGTGGATTCACTTGCGCCGTGCGCTTTAGACCATGCGCTTAGATCCTTAAAATAGGACACTAAGTCTGACCTCTGACCCCACAGGTGGCGTTGGCTGAGTGCTCCCCGAACAGAGGTTGCACCAGCTGGCGTTCTGATTGGACAGCATGTCGCTTATAGATGGCGTGAGTCTGTGGGTTTGACTCTTCTTGTGCCGTCTCCAGTGGACTAATGAAGAATTCCTCTTCTGAGAGCTTGAACAGCCCTGTCTAGAGAGAACAGAAGGTCAAGGAAACACGACACAAAATTAAACAGCTTAAGAATACATTCACTGTCTCACTAATTCACTGCATTTGTATTTTTTGGCACCCACTTGTTATTACATGATTATTATCACTCAGCTTCCAACTGAAACTAAATATAAAAAAGCAGCATTAACAGAAGTATCATAAAAATATATAAATAAATATCTTATTTCAGCTATTTGCCAATGCAACATTTCTAATTTTTATTGTTTAACTTAAATAACTAACTAAAAAAATATTGAATTAAAAAAAAACTATAATAAATATTACACAAACACACAACAAAATGACTAAAACTTTAACTAAAATGTAAATATTAATAAAACATAATAGTTTCTTAATTATCCTAAAATAACACTGTTATCATCTAAATACTAAACATATTTTTAAACAGAATGGTACAGATCTACAGGCTCAACTAAAATGTAAGTATCTACTAAAACTTCAGAGTTAAACTTTAGTAAACTACTTGTCAGAGATGTGTCTTTAAAGGATCAATGACAAACTGCAAAAGAATCTGCAAAAGAAGTGAAAAATCTTTCAGAATTATTTATAAAAAGTTTTTATTTTATTTTATCTGTATCATGGTAAAATGTAGTATTAATTCATAAATATAAATTTTGCTTTTTGGGGGGTCATACTACATGACATTTTACAATATGAAATAACCTTATCTTTGTCCAAAAAACAAAACAAAAAACAATATATATATATATAAGCTGTGAATTACTATGCTAAATTCTTTCTATATCCAAAATTTCATTATTTTTATAGAGGCTTTTTTTCACCTCTTCCATAATTTAAGAATTCAATCCAGAAATGATGTGCTTATTATTAAAGAGGTGTATTCAAGACATTGTATTTATGAATTGGATTTTCTTATGTATTTTCTAATACAAACATTCTAATAAATAGTCAAGTCACCTGTGTCAAGTCACTAACCTTAAATCAGTTTGCTATATATTTATATGAAAAAAGACAAATGTTACATGATCCCTGGGTTTGTGTTTCTTGTTTTTGCTATTTGGACTTTTATTTTGAAGTGTATTTTCTGTCCCAATCATTCACATCCTCATCATTAACTCCAGCATAATAGAACGTTCAGGTTTGATAGGCCAGGTCCAAAAACCCACGAAACACAAGAAACACAAAACCAAGGAACATGTAACAACAGGGTAAGCTTTTACCCAAGTAGGACATTTCTCTGGATTACCTAGATCACCTGTATCAACATCTTTTGTTCAGCCTGAAACAACATTCCTTCCAAACAGTCACAGCTTTAACCTTAACTCTAACCTCTGACCCAGGGGTGTCCAAACCTGCTCCAGGAGGTCTTGCAGAGTTTAGCTCGTACAGTACTTGCCTCTACACACCTGCCTAGATGTTTCTAGTGTGCCTAGTAAGACCTTGAGGTTCAGATGTGTTTAATTGGGGTTAAAGCTAAATATTCGCAGGACAGTGGCCCTCCAGGAGCAGTATTGGACACCCCTGCTTTAACCCTATCCTACTCACAGGGAGAATTACGGGAATGTTTTACTGTGAACCAGAACCAGACGTGATGCCATAAAATTCCAGCAACAAGCAATTTGTCTATCCACACTAGATGAGGCACGACTACAAGACAACCAAATCGATTTAAAATCACAGCCAATTAAAAGAGCACCCCTAGAGGCAAAAACGTGCGAAAATGTGCGAAAAAACGTGTGATATACAATCCTTTACGCACGTGAAAAACACAGATTTCTTTCGAATTTCTCACAGGCCTCTAGGGCCGCGAGTCAAACAGGCCCAGCACGTTTTGTTTCGATCGGCCTCCGTTAACCTTGTCTTACAGCCGCTCGAAATTCTTTGGGCGATGTTTTTCAAGATACGCAAATGTCCTCGTAGACAATCGCGGCACGCTGGACAAAGACACTGCATGCCAGTTTTTCAGTCAATCGGACTAACTGTTGCATAGCTATTGTCGTTTTTGTTTTTTTCCCCATTTTATAGCATCACCAAGTGGCCAGTCGCCACGTCATTTTCATGTGACCACAGACTGAGCCCATACATAGGTGTACCAATTTTGGTGAAATGATCTCATTCCATTCAAGAGGGATGTAGTGAAATTGTCCATGCCCACTTCGAACATTTTGGCGTCCCGTTGCGGATGTGTATCGAAATTTCGACTCTTTTTGATAATTAATGACAATCAGACTCCAGAGAATCTCTCTGCATTAGTTTGGTTCTGATCAGGCGAAAAACCTAAAACTAGTTTGCATATTCGTTTTTCCGAAAAATCTGAAATACCCAGAAATTTCACCACGGTGGCGATCCTCATCTTGAGCCAAGGATTCCAACGTATGGGGTGAGGGGGGAAATCAATTCACATATGAATCGCGATTCTATCTTCCGCCGATTCGAATCGATTCACTAATTAAAAAAATCGATATTCTAAATGTTTAATAATGTGATGGTGTCGTTTCAAAGAAGGCAACAGTGGAGCACCCACCAAACAGTTTAGAGAGAGCACAGGCTTGACACGGAGTAAGCATTATGAATGAAGCTTTTACTTGACAACAGCAGTTCATATCAATATATGAACAAACAGAAAATAGCCGTAAATAATGTTTAGTTTAGTTAGTCGAGCACACGTAAAGCTTTTCTTGCGATTCCAAAATGATTCTCACCCCTACCAACGTAATTGCTAAATAATTGGGTTCCAAGGATTCCAAAATAATTGCTTTAGCGCCATCATCGAGCTGATTGGTGAACGCGAACTTGCCTTGGTGACATTGTAGACGGGGTGGGTATACGATCCCTCAAAGTTTCAAGTCTCTACGACTTACGGTTTGGTCTGCCCGATCACTTTGAGGGGTGAATGCTGATTCTTGGAAATTCTAACACTTACAATAGGCTTAAACCCCTAAATATATTATCAACAATAATTCCCTATTTTTACTATTCTACATAGGAACATACTGTGAAACATCCAAATACAAGTATGCTTATGGACTCACCAGGCCATTGCAGGTGCTCACAGCTGCTTGACCCCAGGTCAGTTTACTGCTCCAGACATCTCCCAAGAAGAAGCAGAGAGAGTGGCCATGACCGTGTAACGTAGACCCTTGCAGGCCACCGTACCTTCGCTCTGTGAGGAATCCAGGCGCTAGTAGATGAGGGTTTAGGGTGAGGTTAAAGTGCAGGTCCTGACCACCATACTGCAGACGGTAGAAAACCCGGGTCAGGCTCTCTTTGTTATTTGCCGTCTCTCTCCTCTGAATTCGACTCACGCGGTGGGACACAAGATTGGACAAAAAATGTCCTGATGAATCCACTCGGATAGGATGAACAACTTCATAGTTTGGAAATCCATCAAGAGAACTATCTACAAAAACAACAAGGTAACTATTAAGATAAAAACTGTCACATACCAGAAGTGGAATTGTTTAATAGTTATACTTTGTGCCAAAAGACAAATCGGATGAAAAAAACAACAACATAGATTTGCGATCTGAGCCCCATCTTTTAATTTGTGTAGGGTTGCGTCTACCGTTGTTGAGGTTTTACTTTAATTGGGATGTAAAGTTCACACTAGGGGAAATATCAGTGTCCTTATTATGCTACTTTAAAGGGTCCCAATTTTGTTTTGGAGATCTCCTACAATAGGTTGCATGCATCCAAGGTCAAAAAACACTTTCATTTTCTCATAATATACTGTACATTGCAGCATCAGCTCTATTCTCACATCTGAAACAATAAAGGCTTCAGTCTCTCTAAACCCCTCCTTTCCAAGAGCCTGCTCTGATTGGTTAGATGGCTCAATCTGTTGTGATTGGTCTACTCTGCTCTGATTGGTTAGATGGCCCAGTCTGTTGTGATTGGTCTACTCTGCTCTGATTGGTTAGATGGCCCAGTCTGTTGTGATTGGTCTACTCTGCTCTGATTGGTCAGATGGCTAAGTCTGTTGTGATTGATCTACTCTGCTCTGATTGGTTAGATGGCTCGGTCTGTTGTGATTGATCTACTCTGCTCTGATTGGTTAGATGGCCCAGTCTGTTGTGATTGGTCTACTCTGCTCTGATTGGTTAGATGGCCCAGTCTGTTGTGATTGGTCTACTCTGCTCTGATTGGTTAGATGGCCCAGTCTGTTGTGATTGGTCTACTCTGCTCTGATTGGTTAGATGGCCCAGTCTGTTGTGATTGGTCTACTCTGCTCTGATTGGTCAGATGGCTAAGTCTGTTGTGATTGGTCTACTTTGCTCTGATTGGTTAGATGGCTCAGTGTGTTGTGATTGGTCTACTCTGCTCTGATTGGTCAGATGGCTCAGTCTGTTGTGATTGGTCTACTCTGCTCTGATTGGTCAGATGGCTCAGTCTGTTGTGATCTGTCTACTCTGCTCTGATTGGTCAGATGGATAACTCTGTTGTGATTGATCTACTCTGCTCTGATTGGTCAGATGGCCCAGTGTGTTGTGATTGGTCTACTCTGCTCTGATTGGTCAGATGGCTCAGTCTGTTCGGTAGTAGAGCTTGGAAAAGTGGAGTGTATTAGGTAATGGCTCAGATCTAACTTCCTCAATGGGGTGTCGGTCAGAACACACTGGATTCAGATCAGTTCAATCCAAAAGGATGTTTATTGTTCCAGTCTTAACAGTTCACAACACAGTGGTACACACGATGTATTGCTTAACAGGGTGGTTTGTAAATGGATGTGTATGTATATAGGTGTATGTGTGTGGTCTACAAAGGAAAGAAATAAAGATAAATATTAACAACATGTCTTGATTATCGTTACACAGACATAATTTCCATAAACATACATATCTCTCAAATAAAGAAACTCTCAAGTTCAATGCTAGAATCAATAAAGGAAATAATATACAAGCAACAAATGATTATTATTAAACAACACCGACACCCAGTGGTGAGAGATAGAAAAACATCCGAAACCGAAACTAATCCTGAGGTGATTTAAATGAAAGTCACATAATCAGAAACATCGCGCTCTCAAACCCGAAATAACAAGAGGCTATTAATGCGATGGTCACACATACATACATATCAAACACTGGGTGCAATATAAACACTGTAAATTGCGATTAATGTCGAACATAATCAGCACATTCACGTGCGCTCGACAGCGATCGATAAATGGCTTCATCTCCGATGAATACACATCACTGATGAACAGATGACATTGTATCAAGACTTTACAGGTCCTTAACAACCATTTATACCATATTCTCAGCAAACAAACAACTTACATTAGTTTATTGACGCACACTTTCACACACAGTCCAGCTCGCATCTTAGGGTGTATTCACACCTGCCTTGTTTGGTTCGATTGAATCGAACTCTAGTTCGTTTCCCCCCTTGGTGCGGACCTTTTGGGCAGGTGTGAATACAGCAATCGAACTCGGGTGCGGACCAAACAACCGAACCGAGACCCAGCTGAAGAGGTGGTCTCGGTACGGTTCCAAACGAACTCTGGTATGGTTCGTTTACGGTGTGAACATGAACCGACCCAATTGCAAGAAAGCACTGCGCCTTTGAGTTAAAAGGCTTCCGTAGTCGGAGATTTTGGCATAATGGTTTGTGTTATTGTTGTTCAAGTGCGAAAGAGAATTCCATTCCGGCGCGCTGTCTGGCCACACGATACTGTTGCGCGTCTTTCTGCACGCCGTGTGTGCGTCATTGGAATGGAATGAATGAATGAGTGTGTGCATCAGGACATTCACATACAGCGCGTTCTCTTTAGTCTAATCGCGCATAGATGCAAAAAAACTTTTGCAGTTCATAACGATAGTTACAATACAAGGATGACGCTGCATTAAACTGGACAAACTTAAATCGCAAGCGTTAACATTGACAGCACTTGTTAGCAGTAGCCTATATACAATAAGAATCTCATTATTTGAATGTGTGAACATAGCCCCTCTCTATGAATCAAAACTTTATACCTTATCCGTCTTCTGCGCAGTTTCTTCATATTGCGTTTGTACAGAATAACACAAAATTAGTAAAATAACAAATATTGCAGTACGAAATATCTCCATGCTGAACCTTTTTTGCACTTCCTGATTTCCCTACTTGAGAATCCTTGTCCAATGAATGGACGACCTTAGCACACGTGTGGTTTTGTTGACAAATTTTGGTTCACTTGCAAAAAGAGCAGTGTGAAAGCGAACCGTACCAAAAAAAAAAAAAAATAATGATTTGGTCCGGACCAAAGCAAGTGAACTATCGGACTTTCCTGGTGTGAATACACCCTTACACTCTCTCGGCTGCTGATGACTGACTGAAAGTAGCGCATGCGCATATGCTGATGGCCTTTCTAACACAGCCGCCCCCAAATTTGATTTCAAATTTGTTCCATTGAAAGCCCGACAACATAGGGCCTAACATTTGTCATTAGTATTCATGTCCTTCCCTTCATCCTGGATCTCAGGCAGGACAATGAGTCGAGTGATGGGTCTTGTATATACTTTATCCTTTATCTGCACTTCGGCCGTTCGTAATCGATTATCAGCCCCAGGGAAGACGTTCACTACTCTCCCAATCTGCCAGAATGAACGGGGTAACTGGGGGTCAACAAGCATAACAACTGTCCCTGGTTTGATGTTTGCTGATGGGTTCTGCCACTTTCCTCTGGCCTGCATTTCCGGTAAGTAGTACTTAATAAAGGCTGTCCAAAATCTGTCAGACAGTCCTTGTGAATGTCTCCATCTCCGTCTTCCTAGGAGCTCGGACACTGGATATACGACTTGAGGCAGGGTGCCATCTGGCCGCCCCATCAGAAAGCAGTTTGGGGTGATTGGATCTACATCAATGATATTCGCTGAAACGTAACCAAGTGGTTTGGAGTTTAGGATGGCCTCTATCTCTATGAGAACAGTACGAAGCACTTCTTCAGTGACTGTATCTGAGCCCAGAGTTGTATAAAGGGCAGCCTTGACTGAACGAATCTCTCGTTCCCAAACCCCGCCGAAGTGTGGAGCAGCTGGAGGATTGAAATGAAAGCTAATCTGTTTCTTCGCTAGTTGCTGCTGTATATTACCACTGAGCTGACTGAAGGTTTCTTTAAGCTCTGTGTTACCCCCTCTGAAGTTGGTGCCTTGGTCAGAGTATAACTCTGCAGGTTTCCCACGGCGACCTATGAACCGTCGTAATGCCATGTGAAAGGCATCACTGTCTATCGACGTCAGCACCTCCAGATGCACGGCCCGGGTGGTCAGGCACTTAAATAAAAGTCCCCATCGCTTCTCCATCCTACTTTGACCAGAAAGGGCCCAAAGCAGTCCATTCCGGTCGAATAGAAAGCAGGCTTGAACAACCGAAGTCGTGGTGGAGGAAGATCAACCATTTTCTGGGAGGCTGGTTTTGACCTCCATTTGCAGCATTCGAGACATGTTCGCTGGTGCTTTCTCACTGCCTCTCGTCCTCTCAGTATCCATACCTTTTGTCGAAGCTCGGCAAACACTCGTTCTGACCCCGGATGGCAGAGGCGAGCATCATAATCCTTTATGAGTAACCGAGTGTTAGGATGACTGGGATCCAATACTATAGGATGTACTGTGTTCGGGTCTAGTCCTTCCACCCGTCGTAATCGTCCTCCAACTCGTATCAGATCATTACTTCTGTCGAACTCTGGAGAGAGACAAAGTAAACGGCTGCTAGAACGAACAGGCTTACCGCACTTCAACAGCTGGTAGTCTTCAGCAAAACTGTCCTTCTGGACCTGTCTTAGTGCAATCAGCTCTGCCTTTTGATAATCGCTAGCTGGAGGGGATCCGCTCGGTTCTGCCGCCCCATGTAGCTCCTGTGCTACTGTTTCGACCAAGTCTTTCCAGGTTCTACACTTACTACCATCCGCTGTCGGTTGTGCCGAGTTGATCATGCCACAAAAGACACTTCGCTTTAGTTCTGTAGTGTCATCAAGCAATAGACTGTGCATAACTGGTGGTGTTGGCCAAGAACTCTGATGTTGGAGGAGGAATCTTGGTCCTTGGGTCCACCGATTGGGTTCAGCAAGGTCCTTTAGGCTCTTACCTCGGGTAAAATCATCCGCAGGGTTCCTGACAGAGTCAACACAATGCCATGCTTTAAGGTCAGTCAATTCTTGAATCTCTGCCACCCTAGTGCCCACAAACACCTTGAAGCGACAGGATTCGGAATGTAACCAGTGAAGGACAGTTGTTGAATCTGTCCAGAAAGTGACCTTCTGGATCTTCAAGGTGAGCTCATTTTTCGCCAGCTTGGCCAACTGCGCTCCTATTAGAGCAGCACAGAGCTCCAGTCTAGGAATTGAACACTGCTTACGCGGGGCGACACGTGATCGGGCCAGGAGGAAGGAAAGGTGTTTCTTCCCACCAGGATCTTCTGAAC